CGCTGAGATATTCAGAGGTAGGTGGATGATAGGGGGACGGATATTAGCACTTGTATTAACTCCTCAGCCTAAATCTCTGTCACTGCACATTTCTCCTCTTAGTCGCTAGCCCGCAGCCCTTAACTATTCTACATCCTTGTTCCACGTTTGTCTTCTTTTTTTCCCTTTTTTGCATTTTTTCCAGTAAGTTTTTCCCTCCAGAAGACTCACACTATCCCGTTCTGCATTCTCTCCTTCCATTCCAGAGGGCCATTTCCATATAAAAAAAAGTCTGCAATTCCTCTTTGCTCCCCTCTAATACCAGTCCCAATCCCAGTCAGACTCTTTCATTTGGTTAAGTGACTACTTTACTGACTAATAGAGTGGCTACTTGACCAGCTTACAGACCAATGGCCAAAACGATTGGTTTATTTGCTCGGTGTACTGAGTTCATACTCCCTTCTGCACTTTGCTTTTGTACCACATAATTGCTGCTTAATAATGTGAAAAGCACGGCAGTATCTGGTGCATAATCTTTTATTAAGACATTGCTACGAACAATCAGCACTAGTGTTATAAAGTTCGGGTTATAGCAGAAAAGTAGTAAGGAGAGGTTGTTTAGTGTCAGTTGGCTCCTCTACCACCACGGATACGACCATCTCCACGGTTTCCCACATTGCGGTATCACCACAGACCTCCATGCACACGGCGTCTCACATTGTGGCACCACCCATGATGACCATGCACTCCTCTCACCACATTGTGAACCCTGTATGAGACCAGTCCACGGTGCCCACTTCCACGGATACGAACATGGCCAACTCGCGAATCCCATTTCTCCAACTATCTCTTTGCTTCCTTTGATACTCAATTTCCTCCCCAGATGTGTCGCCTTTTCTATCCTTATCATCGTCTCTAAACGCTCCACGTGACATCTATGCCCCATGTGATGTTTGCGCTCCATGTATTTTTAAAGCAAAGTTTAAATGTGCAGCGAATCACACAAATTTGTTTGAGTTTTGGTTGAAAATGTGATGAAGGACACGTTCAAATTCCTCAATTTCTACGGTTCAGTGATCAGTTGGCCGTGCTCATTTATCAGAAACTGGCGTTTGCAGTACATATGATGAAGCTGTACAAAAGCGTTCAGTAGCTCAACATAGTCAGTGATGAATCCATGATTCCTCTATCGCTAGTTCCGCATTTTCCGGTTTCCCTCTCTCTGCTGATTGAATGATTGTAATATCAATCCACAATAGTCAAACGAAGCTTAGTTACATTGACTCTTAGAGACCACATTATTCCGAAGATAAGGAAACGCCGCCTACAATAAGGGGCTGGATTTCCCACACTTCTCATTTCTAACTTGCAGACATTTTGATTTTACTGTCCCGCAATGGGAGAAGCCATGTGTCTGGTCACCTGTGGTGGTGCCGCAATGTGGACAGCAATAGGGCTGGTCTTCTTTATGGTTGACGGCAATCACCACTGCATCTTCATGCCCGCACCGTAGCTTGAAAAGAAGTGTTTCAAATTCCTTCGATTAGCAAGTGCTAGCTGACGCTGCGCAAGTTCGCTGCCACTGGAGCACTGGCTCAGCTCACTAACTCGACTCACATTGTTGCAAGTAAGGACCTGGTTTACTATCATTTCGCACTTTCCTTCTCTAACCTGCTTAGTTTTACGGTTAAGTGTTGGAGTAGAAGCAAATGATGTTAGTTCCAGGTACGCACGAAAGGAGGACAGACATGTCAGGATGAGGAATTGGACCTCATAAACGATTGTAAATACCACCTCTATTGTAATTCATTCTACCTTTAAAAGGCACTTGGCACTGTTTGCGATGCACACGAGATTGGCTTTAGATTTCGAAGGCTTCCACGTATGCTTCAATGATTCACCTTATACAGTTTCGTTGCTTTTTAGATTTTCGAGAGAAGTGATCAGCGCAAACTTTGTTACTTGATGATGTTACTCACAAATTCGTAATCTCTTTTGCTAAAACCGTTAGTCAGCTCATTGTAGCATCAAACGCTTCTGAATTGCTTCGAGGTACATAGCTCCTGTGTCGGAATCGCAAATGATCCTAAAGGATTGCGTATACTGTGAGGACATGTCGCGCATAACAGGTCCAAATATTATGGGTCTTGGCTTGCAATTAAATACTCGAAATAATAAACGCATAGGAGATGATACCGGCAAGCGTCCCTCATGGCTCCTGCCCTTTTTCACCTTTTACTGGGGATCCTTGGGTTTAGGAAACGGAAGTGCCTTCACATTCGTTTTCTAAGTGAGGACGATCACACTTAAATTAAGGTGTCAGCCGTGTCAGCTTGAACGCACCACTCGTCCGTGAACTTGTGATATTAGCAGTGCGTAGATGGCTTTAAAGGTAAATGTCAAATCTTAATCAAGACGCCCGTGGATGCTACAGTAAGAAAGCCAGACAATAATGAGACAGTATTTGGCACCTATTCTAGCCATGTGGATTCCACATTTGCTTTTTGGTGGAAATAACACATGGCACATCTTCATCATGTAATCGGAGTACAGGCGAAATTATTACGTGAAACATTCATTCGACGTACTGTAATTGCATTCGAGAGAGGACGCGGTATACTGCTCTCGCGGTTTAGATGAGTACACAGTTGGATTAAAGACCACTGCTACCCAACTGATCTGCATTGACCTCTCCCAGTGGCAACTTAGTTGTCAACTCCATTCCCCATCAAGCGATTGATCAACCAGGCTCTGTGAATGTGAGGAAAAGTAGTTGTAGAGCACTGGTAGCACCAATCCAAATAGCTTCACTTTTACTGATCATCCCATTTCCCTCGGAGATAAGTAATGCGTCACACAACAATCAACTGCCTATGTGGACAGCGAAAGACGGAACTAATCCAATGTTGCTTTACATCAGTTCATGCAGCATACGTTTGGGATTTTGAAGCCCATTAAGCCGAACTTACCTAGCATTTCCCCACTACTTCAAAACAAACCTGAATTTCTGGCTCCATGAATAAATACCTGGAAACCTACAACACATATTTTGAGTCACCATGTTTACTGACGAAACGTAGTAGTGCACTATTAATGACATCAACAACTTCACGAATTGATATTGCGAAAACGTGATTTTGTCTTACGTAGTCAACGAGTTTTTTTATGAATCGCTTGATAGCAGACCTACAGTAGCAAAATTAACAAATACTTGGAGTGATTTATAACCAATTCTGACCTAAAATTTTATTTAATAGGCTGGATCTTGCCAACGATTTTCAGCAGTCTCAAAAAATGAAATTAAATGGTACAAAGAAACACTGCGATTAATGCCAACAACTAACATCATCATCTAATTTGTTATGAAATTGATTAGACAATTGTATACCAGAAAGTACAACCTGTCAATGCTCTTCAGAGGGACACTCACGTTGTCTTTTGTAAGGCTAACTTGTCCTAATTATTATTTAATCCCACGTTTTGTGGACGCATTGCACCTGCCAAAGCATATTTTGCTTGTCAAAATAGCTGGCGGTTTAATTTATCTTTTAAACATAACTTTATATTTCTACCCAAGGAGCAGAATCTGCCAACTTCTGTGATGGTAACTTTAGGCTGATGTACCATAATCAAAGTACAGTAAATGGAATAAATCACATAAGTTCATTTACATCACAGCATATACAGCAGTCGGAATATGAATCCAGATTTAAGTAGGAAGATGGGGAAAGAGGGACAAATCCGTTTTAAGAAGCAGTCAGAGGAGAAAATGGATGCACCAATAGCAGTAGTGAATTCCACCGAAAGGTGAAAGCAATTTGGACAAGTTGTTTTCGCGAAAGTATTGGTTTAGAATGAATTCCTTTCTAATAATCTAAATGTGGAACATTCAGCTTGAAACCTG